GGGAGATAAAACCTATTTCCGCAGGACGATTGAGTAACAGTATTACAAAAGTACCCTCATTTCATGTATCCGGAATAGGGAGATAAAACCTATTTTCGCAGGACGATTGAGTAAGAATATTACAAAAGTATCGTCATTTCATGTGTCCGAAATAGAAAAATAAAACCTGTTGCCGTAAAGTGATTGAGTAAGATTATTACAAGAGTATCGCTATTGCACAAGGAGATGCACACATGTAAGTATTATCAGTTGTAGTTTGGCTTTCATATTGGATTCCCGCGAGTAGGGTACTTTCTTTGAGATCGTGGCTTTACATGATATGGTTTATGGTTAACTTTTATTTTGGATGAGATTCCCCTTACATTAGAGTTGTCTACTCGAGTGTAGTTTTGAGACATGATATTTATTCTATATGTTTGAGGTTTGGAATGTTTTCTTTTGTTTGATGTTTTTCATTCATAGAGTTTGGAGTTGGTATTTAGAGAGTCACAATTTGAGACATGGTATATACATGAGGCTTTTCTTATTTGGATTATTTTGCTCGACGTACTAATTGTCGTGTTATGGATTTCTAAATACTAATCTCCAGTTAGAGTTATATGAATGATTTCATACTTATATACACCGACTCCATTTTTCTTACATACTCCTACCCCTTCCCCTTGGGAGTGGTGGAGATGATCTCGCTAGCGCTTTGATGCTCGTTGTTTTCCCCCCATTTCAGGCAGCGAGTCTGGCGCACAGAGAGTCGCAGGTTAATGGAATTACATCTTAGATTCCATCTAGATATTATTACATTTGTAGTTGTTTCAGAACTCCACATTTAGTTGTTTATTTTTCAGACTCTAGACTTGTATTTTATTTTGTAGAGGCGGAATGCCTTATTGAGATTTTATTTGACTCATTGTACTTGAGGTTTATTTGAGACTCAGAGATATTTCTATTCTATTTTAGTTGGGCCCACTGATGATTACTCTCCTATTATTTCTGTGTACACCGAGTTCGTTCTCTCTTTATTATTTGCATGTCGGTACTTTTACCTATTTGTTGTTTTCACTAGAGAGATAGTGACTGTGATGATGAAACATGTCGTAGCATGGTGTTTGGTGCTTGGCAGGTGTGAAACATGTCGTAGCATGGTGTTTGGTGCTTGGCAGGTTTGACAATCTGGGTTTCACCTTGGACTGCAGCCTTGTGTGAACCCTGGGGGTGTTTGGTGCTTGGCAGGTTTGACAATCTGGGTTTCACCTTGGACTGCAGCCTTGTGTGAACCCTGGGGTATCACATTTATATAGTGGCGATAATTTTAAGCTATAATATTTTTTAAATTTTTATTCCTTAGCCGAATGTTTTAATAAATTCTTATTGCTTTTGTTTACCAGTATCAACTTATACTATTTTTAGATGCTGAAAAGGGATCGATAGTAAACCCTAAATTAGAAATTACACACGCACACACTCACTCACTCACACACACACACACACACACACACACACACACACACATACACACACTCACTCACTCGCTCACTCACACACACATAACTTAATGAAAAATACCAACAATTACACTTTTCTTTGCCAAGTTTTAAAATTTAAGCCCTTTTTTATGGTTTTGAGCTTTGAGAGTGTGATTTGTAGTTTTTAAAACTTTGGGATAGTTTTTTTAAAAAAAAATATTTTAAGGGTAGTTGTAACTTCTATGTTTCATGTGTCGGTGGTAATTTTTTTAAATGTCAGGATATTTCTTACAACTTTAAAATTTTGAGGGTGCTTTTTTTAGTTATTAAAACTATAGATTAATTTTGGAAAAATTTAAATTTTTAATGGTCTACTAGTTTCCAGATTTGATGTGTACTTGTTAAAATTTTTAAAAATTTAGAGTTTTTTTTTATTTTTAAATTTTGAAGGAGTTTTTTTTACAGTTTTTATAACTTTAAGGTTAATTTCAATAAATTTTAAATTTTCAGGTGTTTGAGGGTAATATCTTGAATTCATCTTTTATTATTTGTAAATTTTTAAATTTTAGAATATTAGGGTGAGTTTTTATAATTTAAACTTTTAAGGTTATTTCCAAAATTTTTGAGATATTGAGGGTGTTAATTAAAAATTTTAAATTCTTTAGAGGCTGTTATTAATTTCTTAATTTTATGTTTGTTACTTTAAGTTTTGAAATATTAGAAATTTTTGGGTGTATCATGGTAATCCCTTAAATTCATCTATGTTGTTTACAAGTTATGAAATTTTAGAATTTCAGGGTGTTTGTTTGTGAACTTTTGAGGGTGTTTCTATAATTTTTGAGACATTGAGGTGCTACGTATAAATTTTAAATTCTTCACAAACTGTTATTAATTTCATAATTTCATGTTTTTTATTCTAAGTTTTGAGACATCGCGATGGTTTTTATAATTTTAAAATTTTCAAGATATTTTGTGCAATTTTAAAACTTTTTAGGGTTTTTTTGCAATATTTCATGTATTATAGTATGTGAACTACATATAATTTCTTTATCTTAACAAACTAATACCATAAAAATGTTTTATATATTTTATTAATATTACTCTACATATAATTTCTTTATCTTAACAAACTAATACCATAAAAATGTTTTATATATTTTATTAATATTACTTTTTAAATTGTTAAGCTATAGATAATTCACGTAGGATTAGGATATGATGTAATTATGATTAGGATAGATTTTTTTAAATGTCAGGATATTTCTTGCAACTTTAAAATTTTGAGGGTGTTTTTTTCAGTTATTAAAACTATAGATTAATTTTGGAAAAATTTAAATTTTTAACGGTCTACTAATAGTTTCCAGATTTGATATGTACCTGATAAAATTTTTTAAAATTTAGAGTTTTTTATGATTTTTAAATTTTGCAGGGGTTTTTTTTTACAGTTTTTATAACTTTAATGTTAATTTCTATAAATTTTAAATTTTTAGGTGTTTGAGGGTAATATCTTGAATTCATCTTTTATTATTTGTAAATTTTTAAATTTTAGAATTTTAGGGTGAGTTTTTATAATTTAAACTTTTAAGGTTGTTTCCAAAATCTTTGAGATATTAAGGGTGTTAATTAAAAAATTTAAATTCTTCAGAGGCTTTTATTAATTTCTCAATTTCTTGTTTGTTACTTTAAGTTTTGAAATATTAGAAAATTTTGGGTGCATCATGGTAATCCCTTAAATTCATCTATGTTGTTTACAAGTTATGAAATTTTAGAATTTCAGGGTGCTTGTTTGTGAACTTTTGAGGGTGTTTCTATAATTTTTGAGACATTGAGGTGCTAAGTATAAATTTTAAATTCTTCACAAACTGCTGTTAATTTCATAATTTCATGTTTGTTATTCTAAGTTTTAAGACATCGCAATGATTTTTATAATTTTAAAATTTTTAAGATATTTTGTGCAATTTCAAAACTTTTTAGGGTTTTTTTGCAATACTTCATGTATTATAGTATGTGAGCTACGTATAATTTCTTTATCTTAACAAACTAATACCATAAAAATGTTTTATATATTTTATTAATATTACTTTTTAAATTGTTAAGATATAGATAATTCACGTAGGATTAGGATAGGATGTAATTATGATTAGGATAGATTAAGATATAAATACAATATTCAAAATAGTGAAGGGTAATGTTGACTATTGAAAGATTTTCCTGAACTCGTGTTTTAAAGGGAGTATGATATTGCAAGAATATGTCATTCCATAGATAATGGTCATTGCTTGTCACATGGTTTTGGTAAAATGTGTTTGAAGTTATGAAATGAAATGGTGCTGTGTTTATGTTAAAATTGTTTGTTAGACTACATTCTTTTTTGGTTGATGAGGGAACTTTGTTACAATGCTACAGACCATGACCATGCATATCAAAGCCAAAGACGTGGCTAAGGGGCATCCCCCAATTCATGGTCTCAGGTATTTCAGGAAATTAAATTTTTGTTTGTACTCCTCAGGAGAGTCAAACCTGAGACATCCGAGTAGTTTGTTAGACTACATTGATATCATGGTTTGCGCTACATCCACATGTTTTTCTTTAGAAAACA